AAATACTGCACCTTAAATGATCGTGTCTGTTGACTTGTTTAATCCAGGGTGTTAAATTTATACTACTCTGTTACTGGCATTATTTTGCTAAGTGGTTCTTGATTGATAAGAAACTTTTAATTACTTGAAGACCTTTCAATAGTTGACTGCAGCATGCTTTACCGTGAGTGAATATACTGCATTACTACGCATGACAAGCACTTCCCCGGCTGAAGGTATTTGTTGGACAGTGGGTGTAAAACTGTCATCCATCAGCGTCAGAAATAATAATAAAAAAAAGGTGAATAGAGATGTGATGGACTGTTTTGTTTCCATGTTTGTTTCTCCTTCCTTTCGGTGCTTCTTTATGTGTTTACTGGAGATTTTAAAAAAAAATAATAATTTCAGATTCAGACTGGTCTGGCTGCTTTCAAGGAGAGATCAAGTGACAGAGCTGTGCAGCGAAGTGACGCGTAAGCCAGCAAAAGTCTTTCTGTGACGTGCAGCATGTGGATGTCTAGGTGTTAAATGCATCTGCTTTCCCTTTGCCCTCCCATTTGCATCAGGAGGGACAGTGCTAAAAACTCTCAGTTGTTCCAGTGTTGTTCTCATCTGCCCATCATTTCTTCTGCTTGCCCAGGCTCTAAGCAAGCCAGCCCGTTGTCATGGGCTGGACTTGAGCAGATCCATGGCTGGTGACAGGACCCAGAGCAGCTACTGGAGCCCGCCTGTGTCCTGGTGCAAGTGCTGCCTTCAGAGGGTGAGAAACTCCCCAGCTGCAGCAAATCCATCTAAACAGCATTGCCATTTGCCGCCTTTAAGTGAAAAGGCGTATATGAAGTGCTCCTGTCCACGACAGTGGTGTGAACTGTGGATTACTTTGTTTAACTGGCACTCCATGCCAACCCCATGCCAACACCTGTGGGTAATGCAGCATCTGCTTCTTCCAACTACATATTTCAGTGCAACCAGGGACTGTAGAGGACTTCTTGGTGATTGCCAGCCCTCTCCCACTGTGTGATGTTGTGCTGTTACATCGTATATAAACTGCCCAATTTCCTTCTTTAAAACTGGTTAGGTTTGCTGTCTGCTTCTCCTTTTGAAAGGCTACTACAGAACTGTCATGGTTAGACACCTTCTACTTTTCATCCCCCATTTATATTTAGCTGCAGTTCTTCTTCCATGCAGTATGTTCTCTGGTCTATCGAATAAGCACAGAAAAAGGTTCTTTTTGCCATAGTAAGCAAGCTGTCCTATTCCTCTCTTGAAGTATTCTGTTTACATCCTCATGCTGCTTTTGCCATTTTCCTGAATGAAATTCTTTTTACTTTGATATAGAATAAAGAGATCATATATGCCTTTCCCTAGGAGTCTTGCCAGCACCGTACAGTGACATTTATGCTTTTATTTCTGTGGAGACCTTTCACTGGACATACTCTATGGATGATGATGTTCTCTCCTTACGTGGCTATATCATAGTGGCTTACGGCCAGTGTGATGGCTAGAACTCAAGCCCGTTGTCCCATGCTTTTCTCCACCAAGGAATGCCTTGTATGCAGCCAAATTCACAGCAAGCTTTGGGGCTCAGACCTTGTCATTCATACCATGTTTAATCCTCTGTTGTTGCAATCTTCACTGCCATCAGTTCTTTCCATGGGGCATCTGAGTTCTGTATCAATAATTCTCCTGTGTTCGTCATTGGCAGATTTTGTCAGCAGATCCTACTTACTCCCACTAGCTTCCTTACTGCGTTGTCCACGGCTGGCTCAGTGACAGTTGCTTGTTTACCCACCTTAAAGCTCTCTACTCTTCCTCAGCTTATCCGGCTTTATTAACGTCACATGGCATTGTATCAAAAGTTCTTTTGTTGAAATAAAAATTCAGTTGTTAATTCTTTTTATGGCCTAAAGAAAAATCTGTTGCTTTGTCAAACAGAAGAAAAACATGTTTTCAAAACTGGTGTGCCCTGTGTTGTATTTTTTTCCTGTTTTCTGATTGCCTCCATGTTACTTTTATCCTTCATGTTTGCTCTGAAGCCTTTCAAGCTGTTGAAGCCAATAATGAGCCTACCCTAGTCTAGATCACATTTCCCTCCTTCCCCCCCACACCCCAACTGTGGGTACTGCATTGGCTCTTCTACAGTCTTAAGGCATCAGCCCTTGTATAATGGATGTCAGATGCTGGTTCTCTCAGCATTTTCTCAGGGAGAATGCTGCCTGGACCAAATTACCTCTTTACTTTGCTTTCAGCAGGTGATAACTCCTGTTCCCACACAGCCATCACCTGCCTTGCCCCTACATCAATATTGTCACTTACTGAAAGCTCTTTCTTTTTGTTTTGTGCTGTTGTACCAAGACTATTTTTAATCTCAACCCCAGAGTAGCTTTTTCTCTTTTCTTTTTATTTGCATGTCTAAAAGGCTTGGCAGAAGTAATTAAAATAAATGAGCAGTACAGGGTATCTGGACTCTTGGCAGTTTTGACTTGACATGTCTCAAAGTCTCAAAGATGATGGAGGTTTGTCTCCTGATCACGCTTTCTGCCCTTCCCTGCATCCACACTCCGGGGGGTTCCCTGTTGACTTGTGCTTGCCCGTGGAAAGGGGTTATTGCTCAGTTAGGTAACAGCTTTCCTTGGACCTTCTTCCCCTCAACAGAGTTCTTGATGCTTTTGTGTTCTCTAGGCTGCGGTATTTCCCATGCTGTTTGGGGTCTGTTAACATCCAAATATTGTTTGCTTACATTTAGTGTTTCTTAGATGAACTAATTGAAAACCCTGTTACACAGAATCATAGAATGTTTTGGGTTGAAAGGGACCGCTAGAGGTCATCCAGCCCAACCCCCCTGCAGTGAGCAGGGACACCGCTAACTGGATCAGGTTGCTCAGAGCCCCATCCAACCTGGCCTGGAATGTTTCCAGGGATGGGGCCTCCACTACCTCTCTGGGCAACCTGTTCCAGTGTTTCACCACCCTCATTGTAAAGAATTTCTTCCTTATAGCCAGTCTAAACCTACCCTGCTTCAGTTTAAAACCATTACCCCTTGTCCTGTCACAGCTGTCCCTGCTAAAAAGATTTTCCCCATCTTTCCTATAGGCTCCCTTTAAGTATTGAAAGGCCGAATTGAATCAGGTATTGAATCAGGTATTGAATCAGGTCTCCCTGACTCATTCTTCATTGTTACACTCATTCCTTCTGCCAGTAAATGTTGCCATGTTTGTGTGTGTCATTCTCTGTCGCTGAGCACAGCTGAGCCGACCAGTGTCAGGGTCGGTCCAGTATAAAATGTTGTTCCATTTTAGGATTGCTTTGTAGCCACAGCTCTTCCAAGTGTTCAACAGCAAGGGTAGGGATGTCCTGCCTTGTGTGCTTTGAAGGATCTGGTTGCATTTGCATCATTAATCTTTTCTCTTGACCAGCAATTGATATAGATCCCTCCAGAGGGAATGCAGGTTTCAGGCTGAGGGGTTCTGGAAGCCCAACATGGAGCGGAGGTGTGTAGAGCATGATCCTTCCTGCAGGAGCCTGCACCTCGGTGTGCTGCTCCGGCTGCGGGGGAGGTGTGCGCCTGTGCTGGACCGTGGGTCAGAGCTCTGCCTGCTCTGCAGGCCTCTGTGATCGCGTAGAAAAGCTGAAGTGTCCGTTCAGTTATGGATAATGTCATGTTCTTCACGCCTGTTTAAAAAAAAAAATAATAAAAAAGATGTAATCTTCAGATCTGCCTAGCCCTGGAGTTGTAGGACTGACAAATAAAAGGTTTGGACTTTTGCTGCTGTACAAGCTGAGACCTCAAATAGAAACCTGCTTTCCTTGGTTATTTCTGATCTTCTTGTGAGGCCTTGTCTGTCACCTATGAGCAATATGAGGCTGCACGGCTCATCCAAAGTACAGGATTAAAAAAAAAAAAAAAGAATCTTACTTTTTGGGGCTCTGTTCTTTTATCTTGCATAAAACCGGAGCTTATTTCCTGACGTAGTCCTTTACTTTGCGATGATTCTCAGGTTGCAAGTCCCATGGCTGGAAATACTTTGTTTTCCACTGTGTGCAAGTTACAGCCTCTTTATACTCTTGGCAGACATGATTATGTGAGGTTGGAGTGTTAGCTGTTAGCAGTGTGTCTTGCTCACTCCTGTTTGAAACCAGCTTTTCTGTCAAGGAGTGCAGAGGAATGTATGAACTGTAAGCTGGAACAAAGAGGTTTCAAGCTACGGGTAAAGCATTTTCCCCTTATCTGAAAACTTTTCTGTTTCCACCAGGTGCATTGCAAGTGTTTAAACCCTCCTTGGCTCTAATCAGTCCAGTGAAGATTTTCAGAGAAACAAACATTGCTCTATAAATACACTCCTAATACAAACACAAGAACGTGGTTTTAATTCATGAATATGAATCCTCCTATTGCAGTCCGTGTTGTTTTCCATCATACCGTGAGATCCCAGTTCATGTGCGATCATCTTGCAAGTGGTGGCCCTTGTTTGACACCTGTTGGAAATTAAATACTTGCATATGAATGGGTGAAGCTGCAGTGGTACCTCCCTGCTTAGGGGGCTAAAGAGTCTTTGCATTTGAGCATGAGCAAAGCTCACAAGTGTTTGTACAGTTTCATGTTGATCACTCATTTCTGCATTCCATACAGGTGCTTTTAATTTTTAGCGTCCTCATTATGACCATCTTCATGAAAGTGGTGACCTGTAGTAACAGGAGCTCTCCAACAACTCATGCTTTTGTTGGGTTAGAAAAAAAAAATAAAAGAGTTGGTCCTTGAGACTGCCTTCTGAAAGAGGAGGTGCACTGAACAGGCTCTTCTGGTCCTGGCTCTAGGTGTTCAATGAAATTGCATAGCCTGTCTGTGTCTGTACGACTTGTGCTGACATGTTGGTCATTGGAGGTGTTTGAGTAAGTTTCTGTATGCATTTGCCTGCATGCAGTGTGGTCTGTTATCCTTTCCTCATAATATAATCTGAATACCTTTTCTGGTGTTTTCAGAAACTAATTTCATGTTGTTCTTTTCCCTTCCCCCATTTAAGGGTCAAGATGAAGCTGATCCATCAAAACCACCCTGGCTCAAAGGAGGGTAAGTGGTATTTTGAGACCTTGTTTCCCTGTGTTTATAATTACGGTGTGCTTTGAGGTGGTCTGCAGTTCAATCTAAGTAAAAGCAGCACTTCTGATGTTTTTAATGGCTGCTGTCAGGAATAATCAAGTTGCCATGCCTCACTCAGGGCCAGGCTGCTGCTATATTTCAGACTCCTCTTAAACAGCTGGAGGTGGGCTGTGCAGCTCTTCAAGAGATCTGTGGTTAAGAGCAAGGTTATAGCTGCAACATACAGTCTGTAACATGACGGTGGCAGGTACTTATGACAGCAGTGTTAAATAATCCTTACTGAGCACCACAGAGTGGTCTGCATGAAATCCTTTTTCCTGAATCTGTCACTGTTGGCACCAGGGAGGAGAAAATATAGCTCAGAAAGTTAGAAGTGTCTTTTGCTCTTAGAAGAAAAAAGTATCTTTGGGGAAGTCTTCTGACTCTGCAGTGATTTCCGTGGTCATTGTAGTAGTCAAAACTGTGGTAACTCTGGAAATCATTGCAGTTTGTCATTTTTAAAGCATCATGCCTCTTTAGCAGAGGTGAGGGTGAGAGACCGTGCGTTCTCTCCACAGCATGCTACTCGCAGCAAAGAAAGCAGCCGAATTCTGATTGTGTGTAATTTCAGCATGACACTCTGCATAATAGGTGCCAGCATGGTAGCTTCCCTAGAGTCCTCTCTGGGGAAAAAAAGACAGTGACACATTTTACAAGCTGCTAGGTTATGTGCTTTGTACGCAATTAGGGCGATACGGTTTGGTGGTGGTGTGCTCATTAGGAGCTGACGTAGCAGCAGATTTGCCCTGAAATCTCAGCAAGAGGTTAGCTTGCTACGTGCATAAGTTAATTTTCATACTACTGAGTGAAGCTTCCCTAATAAAATGCAAGGTTAAATCAGAGGCTTCATTATATGGCTTTCTGCTTTTGGAGTCATTGTTCTGCGATGTTGGTATTCCCGCAAACCGTCCTCCACACCTGCAGATGCCTGGGGCTGCCTAGCAACCCCACGCTTTCCTACGGAGCCCAGGACGTCGGTGAGCAGGCTGCTGGAGAACTGGCAATTAGCAGGAGCAGAAGACAGTGATTTATTCCAACTATAAACAGCACCTTCTCCTGCTTTAACAAGGAGACAATGTACTGAGTTTATTGGTTCGCACACACAAAATTATTTCCTAGCTTGAAAGATGAATACACCTACAGTCCTGAAATGCTTAAAAATGTGTTTTGTCAATTCAAGGCAATGTTTGCTCTAGTCTAATTTTTTCCCTTTCTATGTGAGATATAACAAAACAGTCTAGCTAGTATAGTTTTGACAAAAGTTTGCCTTAGTCACTGTATCCCCACGTACAAGGGGTTTCCAGAAAAGGTGGTTGCGGGTGGTGAACCTTTAGTTCCACCATTAGCCACGTTGCGGCTTATTAGCCACAAAGTTAGGTTTGGAGTTCTTCTTTCATACGAAGGTTAGAATAGTGGTGCCATTTGAAGGAAGTAATGATTTTCTGTTATTGTAAACCATCTTTTCTTGCTTAAGTTTTCAAGATTATTGAAATCAAGATGGAAGCACCTGTGTGATAAAACTTGCATTAAAAGATAAATGCATGCTTCAAACTATTTGCAGTTTTAGCATAATGCAACAGAAGCTCCCTGTCTAATCACTGGCTTTGGAGAGAGAGCTTCAAAAGAAGTGCAATTGGTATTATGGATCAGTCTCTGGGTGTAATATCTCTTATCTATGTATCTTATTTTTTAGTGCAAATCATCTTCTCATACAGAAACGCTATTCAGTCCTCAATGCAGCACTCCATAATAAGGCTATGCATATTGCGTGCATTGCGGAGGAGAGCTACCCTATTACATACAAAGCTACAGTGTGCATATTTGAGGCACTGTCAGTACTTCTGTCTGTGCAAACACTGTAATTTTGTTAAAAGAGTAGAGATTGTGCTTGAACAAAGAGACAGAGGTAGATGAAAGCACAACAAGCTGAATAATTTTAAAAATTAAGAATTGTTGCTGAAAATTATTTTTTTTTTTAAATATTAACAAGCTGAAATCAGGTCATCTGAGGGCATAACTAACTAGGTACTAGGATACCTCTCTTCAGTAGCATATACAAGCACCTTTCAAATAGTCTCATTCTCTGTCAGTCTGGCTTAAAACTCGTTCTGTCATAAACCTCAGCCTACCACAAATATTCTGCAACAAACCAGGTTGTAACTAGACATGTTCCTCAAGCACAGTAACTTATTTAGGCTTACGCTCAATTTATACACTATCCAATTTTAATGTTTTTCTTTCCTGGGAAATGTCAGAGTATCACAATTCCCTTTCAATTGAATTAGCAAAAAAAATAATCATTAGGAATCATGTAGAAAAGAAGTGTAAATTTCCAACTGTGCTGTAAACTTTTAGCAGGAGCATTGGCTCTGGATTTTTACATGTGACCATTTTGTTGCATCTTTTCAGTTTACAGAGTCTCCCTTTCTGTTTTGCATATGCTTTCATAATTTAACTGATTTGACACAAGTCTTTGACCCCAAACTTACCAATAAGCTGTATTTTGATTTAAATAATGCGTGAATTCTTGGCATCATCTGGGTGGTCTTGTAGGACACCTATTTTACCCCAGAACAGTATCGCTAGTATTGGAAAGGGTTTGTAACATTAGGGCAGCAGATGAAGTTTCATGCTTGATCCCAAGCAAGACTGTTCTTAGTTTTGACAATATAAACACTTTATGCAGCTATTTCTTATTTCCTGACGTGGGTCAGATTTTTGTATAATAAACCAGAAGGGATTATTGCAGCACAATTCAGGCAAGAATTTTTTCTGGAGTTCTCTGTTGGAAATGAGGGTAGCCTCTAGTAAAAACACCCTGTAACCTCGCTGTAAGGATTTCCAGCGTTGGAAAACTGTTCTCATTCTCAGCCAAAGGTTCCAATAGTTTTAATTAACTGCTGTAAATGTCCACTTTTCTCATGTCCAAGTTTGTCTCCCATGCCCAGCTGTGAGGTCTAGCTGTCGCAGCTGACTGTGGGTGGTGTGTGTGTTGGCCGTGTAGGAGCACAGCGAGCCGTGCACGCTGCTGCGGTGCAAACATGACTCATGCCGCATGCGGAGCCGACGCAGTTCGCGCAGTTACACGTGACTGCTCACCTTCCCACCAGGCTCGCTCAGCCAGCAGCAGCTGCCAACTCAGCCAGGGCTCGGACATGTCACCCTCCTACGCCCCATCAAAAAAGTCAATTTTACCCTTACAGCGCTGTGGCACGATTCTGTATATAATAGACTGTTTCCCACTTTGACACAGCCTTGTGCTAGGCTGTGCCGTGACATCCGTGCCCGTCCTGGAGCATGGGCTGTTATAACACAGGTTTGGTCATTGTTTGTTGTTTCCTGGGTGGATTTTTTGACTTTTGGCTGTATTGAAAGGGGATTTGAGTAGGTCGTGCTTGCCGACAGGTGTAGGTTGCCTCTTGTCGTTTGTCACCAGCCTCCCAATTTTCATGGCATGTGCGAATTTGTAGTGGCAATTTGGTTTCCTAGATTGTTTTAAAGGGTAACTCTGTGCGAGTCTTTTATTGCAGTAAGAACAGTTTGACCCATACTCCTCTTCCCTGTAGCTGTGGTATCCTAAAGCATTTCAGTTGCGCGTGGTATACCACGTCAGCAAAATGCACAGATTAAAAGTGCCGGCCATTTTATCACACAACTGCAAAAAGGTGTAAGCCAGCATGATATGGGGTGAAAATGAATGGCTAAGGATGGAGAGGCAGAAGGTTCCTTTGCAGTCTCTGTAGCCAAGAAACCTCAGGAACCATACCCTTAGAGTTAGCAAGGCATAAGAGCAACGTGGAGATGGGGAAGTTGAGTGAGACACTGAGGTGGGCTGTGAATTTTGGTTGGTGGCTGGGCGTTCATTGTAGGGAGGGAGTCACATTGCAGGTCTGTTTTTCAGTTTGGCATGGATACGATGGGCACAACAGCAGAGAAATGTGTGCTCAGTTTCCAACTTCAGCAAAAAGCATTCTCTTAAGGCCTCACAGATGAATGCAGTTGATTTACGGGAGGGCTTTAAGCGGAATTAACTGACCTTCTTCAAGCACAGGCTTACAGCCATCTGGTGGTACCAGTGAACAATAGGATCCAAATACAATTATCCAGGCTGGTCTCATCAGGAAGAAAGCAGGTTATAGTGTTTCATTTCAGAAGGCTACGAGTGTTGCTGGGGTAATGGCCCTTTTGCTCCATCGCCACTTCCACCAGTGAATGGCAGCTCTTGTGTGTAGAGGTCTGCATGGCTTGAAACACTGAGGACCACAAATGGTCCCTTTCACAGAAATATAAATAATCTCCTTTCTTCTCAGATGTGAGGTTTGTTCTAATAACTATGTGGACCTGGAGGGCCAGGATTAAGTATGTTCTAGCCTAGAATCAGATGACGGGTAGCAGCATCCTGCCCCTGGGCTGATCCACTTTGACATGCTCCTTCCCATACACCAACACTGGGCAGGAGCGTTCGGATTGTTGTATGTGAAGAAGATAAACATTTAATCATGTTTAGCATTAATTTTACACCTACTTAAGTATAATCTTCTGACTGATTTTGCTTTCTCTAGTAAAGCATCCCCCTCCTCACTCCCCAACCCTAAATTAATTAAATGGAAAGAAAAGGGATGGAAAAGACTGGAGGCAGGATGTTTTCGAATTTCCAAAGTCTTTCCTGCCATGACACTCGATGCCAATAGTAAACTATAAAATGAGCTCTCCCTAAGGAACAAAAGGGAATTCTGAAAGCAGCGGCATGTGGCTCAGATACCACAGACTAAACCACATGTGAATTCCTGCCACAGAGCTCTGGTTCTGCTGCTGGGTAAGTATTTTTGCCAAATTTGTGCCCCATGGAAGCAGTGGGGATAAGGCTGCCTTCACCCACTGTGCTGGCAGCAGTGACTCTGAAGCACTGGGTGCTCTGCAAGCACATGCCCAGCCTGCTCTGAGCTAGCTGAGACCTCAGAACTGAGACCTTGCTTCAGTGTGTGAACAACTTTGGTTTATTACTAAGTTGTATTTGCAGGGAACTGATTCTTCTTGTTCTCATTGACCGTGACATTAGCAAGAAGACTGATGCTTTAAGGGAGTTTTTTGGTCATCTCTTTACTGTGTCTCACTGCTGGTGAGATTTTTAATTTTTCTTTTTTTTTTCCCCTCTTTGATTTCTAGGCCTGCAGGTGGTCTCTATGGCATTGATAGCATGCCCGATCTACGCAAAAAAAAGCCAATTCCACTTGTCAGTGATCTGGTAAGAGATTTTTCTTCTGCCACACAGCCGTTAGTGCAAGTGGCTTTGCGTTTTGGCATATGGTAACATTCACTGTCACTTCAAGAAGTTGACGGTTTCCTGTTTAGTTAAATTAATTCTCACAATAAGGCATTAGGAGTTGTGCTTGGTAAAATCTTAGTGAGAATGAGCTACAGTTTCATAGACAGTTTTATTATTTGGCAGAATTAAGGTATCTTTCATGTTCTTTTTTCTTTTTATTCTACACAGGATATTTTATTATTTTCAGGCCTGCATTATTTTTATATGTTTTCCTAAAAACAGGGAAAGTAGTAATGTCCACATGAGGTTTGGCAACGTACTAGGAGTTTGGAATTTCAGGGGATAGCTAAACGGGTGTATGCGCTTGGATTTTTAAAGTAATTTGCAATATTGCCAGTAGGCTTCTGCACTGAAGAAGCATAAGAGCCAAGCAAGTAATGACTTTCATATGCTTGTGTGATACGGTGAAATAAGGCTTCTGTGGGACAAGTGGTTTTCTGTTGGCTGTGTTCAGTACACATAGCGATTTCATACTCGGGAGAAATGCTATAACATCTGAAAGACCAAAGTTTCCGTATCCTGTAATTCCTGTGAAAAGATGCATTCTGTTATCTTTGCCAGCTTGTGCATGGGAAGCTTAATATGTGTCTTGCTAACTGCTTATATCTTAAATCTTTGCAATAATGGCATTAACTTGTATTGCTTCCTTTGTACGCTTTCATTCTCTCTTCACAGGCCATGGTAAGTGGAGCTAAAGCCTATCTACCAAGTCTTCACCAGAAACAAAAATTATTTTACCTTATTTTCCATCTACTTTCCTGCTTTTTATTTGGAACTGCAGTATTGCAGTGCATGCGTATCCAGCACTCTGTCCTGCTCCATCACTGACGGAATGAACTTTTTCAGTCTGTCTTCAGACAGGATAAATCAGAGCATAAATTGAGGTTTCTGATAGGGTTTGATGATTTCAAAGCAGATGTCGCTAGCCTTAATTTCCATCTCTGCCTTCAACTAACTGGAGTGGCTTGCTGAAGAAATGCTTTTTATGCCAGCGTGAGGTGCTGCAAAGGCAGTCCCCTATGCTGTCCAAGGCTGCAGAACTCAGTGTTGGCGTGATGCGCAGGAGGCAGTTTTGAGGGAAAAATGCCGTTCATTATATTCAGTGATGGCCAATGAATGTGATATACCAGCACATTCAAACCTGCCCTCCCAACCCAGTCTGTTCTTTTTTTAACCTTTTTATTTGTAACCCTTTCACTGTCATGTTTGGTGTTGATGTGTATGTTGTAAAACTGATGAAATAATCCCCTTTTAGCTAGGAATAAAGTTAGATATAGAAGAGTGAGTCCCACATAGTGACCTTAGGCAATAGCAGAAATACCATTGCTACGTAGAAGTGGAGGTGTGAACCCAGGTTCCATTGACAGCACTTACCAGAGAAACAAATAAAGATTTACACAGTGAGGCTGGTTATGGGCACTTGGAGACCTTTCAGAGTATGCATTTGACTCTTCTGAGATGTGACCTATCATTTAGGAAACCAACTTGAGTGTAATAGGCTGCTGGCTTGGTGTCTGGGATGACAGGGCCCCCTTGGTCACATCTCTGGGAGTGTAGTGCTGCCTTGCTGAATATTGGTGGTGAATAACAACCTTTCTTCCTTCTTAGTCACTGGTTCAGTCCCGGAAAGCCGGAATTACCTCAGCAATGGCCACTAGAACATCTCTCAAAGATGAAGAGCTGGTAAGTGGGAGGGTTGCTTGGCTCCTGTTAACTTTTAGTAAGCAAATTAAGGGAATTTGGCTTTCTGGGATGCAGAGCAAGCTTCACAGATGTCTAAAAATATAGACGCAAAGCTTCTTGTATCATTTGTTTAAAGAAACCAAACATGTAAAAAATAACATTTAATGTGTTGATCCTGAAAAATGTGATCTTAACCGTTTCCTTCTGTGCTATCTACCAGGGGGGACACTGTCTAAAACTTGCTTTATGCAAGATACCCCTCTTCCACAGACCTTAATTCTTTTCTTCCATCTCCTCCACTTTTTTAAATGCCTGGAGAAACGTTTTTGGAAGGGTGTCCTCTGCTGCTGCTTGTAAAGTTTGATAAATTTGGCTACCTCAAACGTGTAGATTTATTGCACTGCTCATGCCTTTCCCCTTAAAATTCATGTGTTAACCAGCAAAAATAGGTTCAGTCACCTTCCTGGATGTTGGTTTATGTGTGCTCTTGCCTTTCAGAAATCTCATGTCTATAAGAAGACCTTGCAAGCCTTAATTTACCCCATCTCTTGTACAACCCCTCACAACTTTGAGGTGTGGACAGCCACAACTCCTACCTACTGCTATGAATGTGAGGGGCTGCTGTGGGGTATTGCACGGCAGGGAATGCGCTGCGGTGAATGTGGAGTCAAGTGCCATGAGAAGTGCCAAGACTTGCTCAACGCTGACTGCTTACAGAGTGAGTAGTGGCCAGTGGAGTACAGCTGTTCCAAAAGTGTTACCAGAGCTTACCACGATATCTCAGTGATCAGTGAAGCTGCATTTATTAAAATGACTGTGTATTTTCTGAAAAAGTGCCATTGGGCTAAACCTACCACTATTGCCCTGGGGACACAGACAGCTCCACTGATGCAGAAGAATTTCTTTGCAACATTGTGCTTGATGTGCTTCAAAAGAAGGTGTAATTCTTGACTCTTTCACATCTATTTGGTTTTTAGCTAAGTGATGTTTAATCTCTTTTGGTGTCAGCTCAGGTGGCGTATTTGCTAACATATCCTGCGTGGAAGAGAGGCAGTGGGCTGGGTGAATAGGGTACTACGCTGAATATTCTGACTTTTGTTCTGTCCCTCCTGTCCTGCTATCCCAGTCAGGTTGCTTGTTTTAACCATCAGCCTGTTCTACTGTTTTAAGCTCTTCAGAGCAGCACTGGGTTCCTGCTTAGGGGATAGAGTCCATGGACTTAGCTTGGATTCTCTGTACTGAGTGCAGATTGCAAGGCATTTTATCTTTTTAATGGTAGAGTCTCATGGCTGAATGGCTTTAGAGACTGAGGGCTGAGCCAGCACAGATGGTGGGTCGGCTAGGAAGGTGTTGTTTGAGTGCATGGCCAGTATTTCATCTTCCACTAGCATTTGTTTATTCTGTTGTTTTTTTCTGCAGTGTTCAAAAACTAAGCCCTCTCTTCAAAGAAGAGCTCTTCAAAGAGCTGTGACTTTGCAGAATAAATGAGACCTTACACAACAATGGAGAAGTTTAAAAGGAATTTGATTAAAGGGGGGAAAAAAAACCCTAAAAACCAGAGAGACAAAGTATTAATTTGGGCATCTCGCTTGGGCAGGTTATTTTTATTTGCTTGTAAAACAGTTTCTTCATTTGGTCCCACATTTATGTTCCTGCTTGAGAGAAAAATATCTTAGTCTAAATAGAATAGAATTTTCTGCCATATGTGTTAAATCTTGAGTAGGAAGGTGGGGTTGTTTCTGTTCACTCTTGATTTTCTTGACGTTCCAGCTTGATGGACTAAGTCTACGGAATCAGGTAAGTTTGTGAGGTATTCACAGGCTTACTGCAAATCCATGTCAGCAATTATAGGAATATAAAGAATCAAATCTCGTATCTGCCTCAGGCTCTAGTTGTTTTGGAAAGCCAGACTGGATGATCCAGCAAGGGATACCAGGGAATCGTAGGTCATTTGTTTCTCTTATGGCATATCCTGAGACCCCAAGTGGACATTGTTTATGCTTGTATTTTTCATGCGTGCAGAGTGTCCTGGTTTTGGCTGGGATAGAGTTAATTTTCTTCACAGTAGCTAGCATAGTGCTGTGTTTTGGATTTAGTACCAGAAGAATGTTGATAACACTCTGATGTTTTCAGCTGTTGCCAAGTAGTGCTCAGACTACTCAAGGACTTTTTGAGCTTCTCCTGCTCGGCCAGGTGCATAACAAGCTGGGAGGGAGCACAGCTAGCACAGCTAACCCAAACTGACCAAAGGGCTATTCCATACCACATAACGTCATGCTCGGGGGGGTTAGTTAGTTCGGTCGGTCGCTCGCGGCTCGGGGACTGCTTGCGGCTCGGGGACTGCTTGTGGCTCGGGACGGACAGGCCATCGGTCGGCGGGTGGTGAGCAATTGCATTGTGCATCATTCGTTTTGTATATTCTGTATATTCTGTTATCATTCTCATTATTACTATTATTATTATTTTCTCTTATTAAACTGTCTTTATCTCAGCCCTCAGCTCTAACCTTTTATTTTCTTTCCGATTCTCTCCCCCATCCCATTGAGGGAGGGGGGGGAGTGAGCGAGTGGCTGCGTGGTGCTGAGTTGCCAGCCGGGTTAAACCACGACACAGAGTTTTATATAAGTCATAGTTAGGACTGGGGCTATTTGCAGTGGCTTATTTATCAGACACAGCTGATGCTGATGAAACATCTCTGTTCCTCCTCAGTTGCTTAGCATTTCTAGGTTTGTCTTGGAGGGTTGCAAGGTGATCTTTACAGTTTATGGCATTCTGGCACTTGCATCATTGACACCTTGGCTTTATTGCAACCATTCTGTGACTGAGCAAAGAGCTGCTGTGTTGCAGTTGGTGCAGGAGAATGTAGTTAAGCCGTAACTCAGTTTTCTGTCAAAACCTGATGCAGATAACTTTGTTTCTGAAGTTCACCAAAACCCTCTACTGACCAGTGGTTTTCAGTATTTGAGATGAAAAGCCTGCTGGTAGGCACAGCCAGGCTTGATTGAGATGTGTGTCCAAGATGCTATAATGTTGCAATGGAGTTGTGACATCTCAGTATGGGGAAAGTCCTGTGGAGAGCAGAGGAGAATAAGGTTCGCACCAGCAGCAGCAAGGAAATGGACACAAAGCTGTTGTACAGAGCAGAGGTCATGAAGTCAAAAACAATAGAAGGAAAACTAAATTTAAGAAGTAGCTAATGACTCAGGGGAAATATATTCCTGCGGAGGACAGCTGTGGCTATCCATGTTCAAGAAGGGAGACTTCAGATTGGGATGGTGTTGCGGATGGAGTGAGAGGGAGGCAAAAATAATGTGGTTTATTGGTGTAAAACAGTGAGTTAACAAAGTTCAGTGGTAACTGCGACAATAGTTTGAGATTCGATGGCAAGGTACACTTTGTTATTTACTGCACAGAGGACAGGGTCAGACAAAACTGTCAGGGAGACCCTCCC